ATCCTTAAAGTCCCTCTTCACCCTCCTGTAGTCACAAGAAATTGCCCAGGGGCGACCTTGGGACCCCACACAGAAACCCAAGCTGCAAAACCTGCCAGATGTGAGGCCGGGCATGGTGTCTCATGCCTGTAATCCTAGCACTCTGGGAGGCCAAGGCAGGCAGATCATCTGAGGTCAGGAGTTTGAGACCAGTCTGGCCAACATGGTGAAAACCCATCTCTACTACAAATACAAAAATTAACTGGGCATGGTGGTGGACATCTGTAATCCCAGCTACTAGGGAGGTTGAGGCAGGAGAATCACTTGAACCCAGGAGCCAGAGGTTGCAGTGAGCCGAGATTGCACCATCGCACTCCAGCCTGGGTGACAAGAGCGAAACTCCATCTCAACAACAACAACAAAGAACCTGCCAGATGTGAGGCCACACCTAAGCTTCCCAGGGGGCCTGGACTTTCTGGGCTCAAGGGTCTGCCTGCTGCCGGATCTGTCACTGGGGAATGAGGTAGGGGTAAAGGAGCCAGGGCCGGAACACACCAGGGCTCCTCAGGTTTTTTCCTGGACTCCTGTCTGTACATGAAGCGACAGCCCTGCCTCCAGGTGACCAGGGGTGGGACCCAGGATCCCAGCAAGCTTGCTTGTTTGAACACTTTTTGAATGCGAATCGCAGAAATGAATTCTGGCTTCAGCCAGGAAAGAAGAAAACAGAAGGAGAAAGAGGAGAAAGGAAAGGAGGGGAAAGAAAGGGGAGGGAGATGGCAGGATGCTCCCAGAACCCACAGGCGAGGATGCACGCTGAGCTCAGGAATGCCCAGAGCCAGGCGCTGCCTAAGGATGGGAGTGTTTCTGGCACGCAGCCTCCTCTCCTGGGGTTTTCAGCCACGTCCCTCTGGGTACAGTGTTACTCGGCAGAATAATTCACTGCCAGGCGATTCTGGGCTTCTAAACTATCAGCCAGCCCCTCAAACACACTTGTTCTTCTTTGTTCACTTCCCTAGTGGGGACACAGCCTGGCCCCGCCTGGTCGGGGCACCCATGGTGTGAGCACATCCTCTGCTGTACCCAGGTAGACCAGGGCTGAGGTGGAGGGAAAGAGACCCCAGTGCCTGCTCGGAGCTGGCCACACTGCTGCAGGGAACACAGCTCCATCCAGCTGTGGGGGCTCAGAGCTGGGAAGCCTGGAAAGGCGCTTGCTGGCCTCCAGGCCCAGGCTAGGTGGGAACCTGCTGTGGTCGCAAGACTCCTTATCCCACCAGGCAGCAGCTGACTCCCTTTCTGCAGCCAGCTGCGTTCCAGTGGGGAAGCTACATCCCAAGCCGGTCTGATGACAGTTCCACCCGTGCTGCCTCTTGGAAGCTCTGCTGATGAGGTTCCTGTGGCCTTGCCTGTTGTAGAAGGCTGACTGAGGGCCAGAGGCCAGGCCAGCCCAGCTCACCAGCATTTCTCACTTGGAGCACAGGAGAGCTGTCGTCATGTTTTATATTTGTGCCAAGAAATGGCTCCAAGTACTGCATATGTGGGCTCTGGCAGAGCCTCCAGCAGGGCAGGCCATGCGCGCCAGCAGCCTCCTTCTGCCCAGGGGCTGGCCCAGGAGGTGTGAATTCCACAGAGGAGGTGCACATGTAGCACTTGGCCCGCTCCCCCTGGGACAGAGCCATCACCTCCTGGCCTGAGAGGACCCCAGGCTGAGTGGGGATGGGGCTGCTCGGGTCACACAGGGACGCTGGCAGAGTCCAGCACCAAAGGTTAATTGAGGCCAAATCAGCACTGAGTGTAAAGTGCTGCCCGGGCTGGAAGGACAGTCACTACCTCCTACCCCAGCAGTCGACTGAGGGCTTCTTTGTTTTTGGTGGAGTCAGGATCTGGCTAAACAGACTGTTAAAGAAATGCAGAATTCCGGGCCGGGCGCGGTGGCTCAAGCCTGTAATCCCAGCACTTTGGGAGGCCGAGACGGGCGGATCACGAGGTCAGGAGATCGAGACTAGCCTGGCTAACACGGTGAAACCCTGTCTCTACTAAAAACATACAAAAAACTAGCCGGGCGAGGTGGCGGGCACCTGTAGTCCCAGC